TGCTATTAGAATGCGAAACAGAATCTGTCAGATAGCAATCTTACTTAATACTGTATATCTCAATTCAAGATCATTCTATGCTAAAAAATATCCTGTAGAAGTAAAATTTCCAAAGAAATACTTAAAGAAAGAAAAAAGATATTTACAAGTATTATACTCTCCTGCAATAAATTCTCATCATGGGAGCTGGAGAGATGGCTCAGCAGTTAAGAGCACTGACTGCTCTTCCAGAGATCCTGAGTTCAATTTCCAGCAACTACATGATGGCTCACAACCATCTGTAATGGGATCTGATGTTCTTTTCTGGTGTGTCTGAAGATAGTGACAGTGTACTCACATGAAATAAACAAATATTTTTTAAAAATCTCATCATTAGTTCTTAAAGTGGAAGAAAATATGGTGTGCAACACTCATGATCCACTGCCATTTGAAATGTGAATTGATTTTGTGTGTACTATGTTGGGACAGGATGGAAGGAAATATGGCTGGTGATTTTGTGGTGATCAATGAAGCCTTGCGAATGCTAGACAAGAGCCGGGCGGTGGTGGCGCACGCCTTTAATCCCAGCACTTGGGGGGCAAAGACAGGTGGATTTCTGAGTTCACGGCCAGCCTGGTCTACAGAGTGAGTTCCAGGACAGCCAGAACTACACAGAGAAACCCTGTCTCCAAAAACCAAAAAAAAAAAAAAAAGAAAGAAAAAAAAAAAAGAATGCTAGACAAGTGTTCCACCACTGTGCTGTATCATGAGTGAATTAGCATTTGAATTAACTTTTGTTTTGGCAGGTGCCAAACCATAGACATGCAATGCCTAAGCCATCTCCTACAGGAAGAATTCTGTGCAAGCTAAAGAAAAACACAGCCTAAAAAACTGTAAGTTTGAGTGAATAATGTAGTTCAATAGAAGAATATGTATTTAATATGCACTAGGTCCAGGGTTCACTCCTTCAGAGAGAAGGTTTGGAAAGACCACAAATTTAAACAGAACATTGTATCTACTATGTCAAGAAAATGCAGGACACTGATATGATGACACGGAACACACATAAATAGAAAAGGTTCTATAGAAAAATAAAATGTGTGAAAAGGAACAAACTACTGAGACTGTTAGTTGAGGAAATAGATTTAAGTAACATTTACTAAGGTCTTTCCGAATACAAAATAAGAAGGATAAAGGGGCAGAAGTAATAAAAACAAGATGTGTGCAAAGAACTCACTAAATTTCACTTTCATAATCCCTAGTACCTTGACCTCATATTTCATTTGTTACCAAACCTGCTTCTTTACTCAGGTGTTACACATATTCAACCTGTTCATTATCCAGATGGCATCCTGATTGCTTTGCACAATGAACACATGATCCTAGTTTTTAAACTATTAGCTGTGGAGCTGGGGAGATGGCTACATGTTTAAGAGCACTGGGTGCTCTTCCAAAGGACCTAGGCTTGATTACCAGCAACCAAAAAATGGCTCAAAACTCTGTATATTCAGCCCTAGGGAAGTCAAAGACTTCTGGTCTCTGTGGGCACGTCATTCACATGGTATACAGATATATGGACAGGCAGAACACCCACACATATAAAAAAAATTGTTTTTTAAAAGAAAACCTAAAAAGTAAAAATATGCTTGTTAGCTAAGTTCAGGGCAGATAGTCTGTTTACCTCCATCAAGACCTCTGTTCTCTGGTCTCTTCCTTTCAATTATTTCAACACTTGACCAAGTTCTAACCAAATGCTTTGGACAAACTGAGCCCCTTTCCTTTCTCACTGATCTGCACTCATGCCTACACACTGCCTATCTTCTCACTGCCCATGTCAGTACCCACAAGTTCTTATCTGTATCTGCACCCCTATCTTTTCACTGCACACACTCGCACCTCTACTTTCTCATTACCCACATCTGCATCCTTCGCTTCTTGCTACCACATCCCTCTTCTCTCTTTAGTAAAGTTTAGACACCTTTTATAGTCAATTTGTGTGTCTCTCGTGGGACAATATCCCTAATATTTCTAGTTTTCTTTTTTATAACAAGAGTATCTATTAATATCATCATTTGTTTGCCTGTCTATCTCTCTTACTATATTTTGATTTTCATGAAGAACATGGTAATGACTATTCAAAAAAAGTGCTAATTTGTTAAATTTTGAGGAATGAGTGAACATTTTGTTAATAAAAGAAATGTGGTTTTAGAACAAATTTAATAATATAAGGTTTGCAACACAACAGAAAAATGGACTAAGTGTTGGGACCTAGTGAAATGTAAAAGGCAATTTTTCAGTGTAAAACTGTGCATATGTTGACTACAAATCTGATACAGTGGCTGCATGTCTAAGGGTAATGTATTTTGGTGAGTTGATTTTTCAAATCAGCAAAATTCAAAATATTAAAGAACAAAAATAAGATTTCTGAACAATAGCATTCTCTCACATTAGCTCAGAAACATCACAAAGAAGCAAGAGAAAGACAGGATGCAGAGGGAGGGAAGAGCAATGATGACTATGAAAACAATGTAAAAAGGAATGGCTACCCTCTAGGAAAAGGCTGGAAGAATTTGAGAAGGAGGGTGACCCCATAGGAAGACCAGTATCTGAGATCTCTCAGACACTGAGCCACGAAGCAGGCACTAGCTGGTCCGAACTCCCCCCACCCCCATGGAGCAAAAAACATAAACATATTCAACTTTTAGCCCATCATCTTACTTATGAGCCCAAGATCAAAAAGATGAGAATTTGAAAGCATGAAACTATGCCAAGCAGGGTCCTAAACATACAAGATAATGAATAGGAGTGGAAAGAATGATTGATAGGATAATAGCATATGAAATAAAAATAAAACACAAAGGAATGGAGAGATTGCTCAGCAATTAAAGAGTGCATACTGCTCTTTCAGAGTACCTAAGTTCAGTTCCCAGCATCCACATTGTGAAGCTCAAAATCATCAGTAACTCTAGCTCCAGGGGATCCAATGCCCTCTTCTGACCTCCAAGGGCACCTACACTCATGTGCACATATACATATAATTTTAAAATAATAAAAATATATCTTAAGAGACAATAATTAATCTTTAAAGTTAAACTAAGTAGCAACATGAAAAAGTTTATGACATGATATTAATAGCTTCCACAATGTAATGATGATAAGACAAATACATATTCATGGACATTAGGACCAAACAGCCATACAGTGATGAAAATAGTTATTGCTAATACTCATTAACTTTAATCTTATTAATATGTTACCTTATATCTAAATACAACAGAACTACTTATTAATCATACTAGTTATTTTCTAAGAAGGCAGTACTACTAAATCCATTTAAAAAGCTAGAAAGGTTTTTATGAGTTTTACCCATATTAGGTATTCTGATAAATCAACCACTTTGGTGGTTCACAGATTATTTAAGTGCTTTTTAAAAGAATCTAAAACAGTAGGATGTAGGTTATGAGAGTAAAAATATCCAGGAGAGTAATTACTTACATGTATATATATACAGATGTATATGTGTATGTTTAGGTTTTATATGTGTGTGTATAGATGTGCATACATATATACATATATGTGTGTGTATATATACATGTATATATGCATGTAATTTATGCATGAGTACATAAATTCTAGCTATTTTTAAAAATTTTTAATCATTAGCATTACTCATTTCCTCAAAAATTCCTAGAACATTAAACATGTGGTGCACAATAAGACCTCATTTAAAAGTTGTTTGTATTAATTGTATTTATTTTATTTTTACGTATATTTTGTCAGCATGTGGACCATGTGTGTGCTTAGTATCCATGGAGGTCAGAAGAGCATGTCTGATTCCCTGGATCTGCACCTACCTACTATATAGGTGCTGGGAAACAAACTCAGGTTCTTTGTAAGATCAACAAGTGCTGTTAACCACTGAGCCATCTCTCCAACCTCATTGACATATATTTAATCCCAATCAGTACGCTGACAGCATAAATCAGATACAAAAATGGAGATTCAAAGGCTGGGGTTACAAAAAGGAATTAAGATAAATTTGAAGTTAAAAAAATTAAAGTAAAATTTGGCAAAGGTGGCAGTCTCAGAGGCTAAGTGGAAGAGCAAATACAGAAAGCTGAATATAACCAACTGGACTACAGCCAAGTGTAGAACTTGCCCTGTCTAACAGCACAGCTGACAGGCTTGAATACAGATCCAGCCAGGAGCTGCCACACATTGAAAAATCTTTCAAAAGAGGCCAGAAATCAGATGTTCATGTGGCATTCCTGATTTTGTAAATGCTAACAACTATTTTAACTCTTTAATTTTATGTTCCCTGAAGTAGAAAACTAATGGCTGTCTTTGTGCTTATTTTGCTTTATGAACTTGTTTTCCACCTCTGATCTGTGTAGGGACTTCAAAAGGGATAGTCTGCATTACTGAATGAGGCATAAACCACATTTTTATTTAGACCTTTTCATAGGGGAAAATTGAAAAGTACAAAGTAGCGCAGCTAAAGTAAACTGAGACACACTGTTAAGCATCAATCAAGTGTCACTATGAGAGTATGATATGAAAATATGAATGTTCCCAATGAGTAGAACTGTGAAGGATTGGGACATTCTGGTTACCATAAAAAGAAATTACCCCTAAAAATTTGTCATAAATATGGCTTCTTTTGCTAAAATTACAATGAAAATGTTAAGAGAAAACAAAACTACCCAAGATGGAACAGCCATGAACAACATAACTGTAGACAGGTGCACAAATGTCCTGTGTTGTATCTACTGCTCATTCTCTCTGCCTATCCCATTATCCAACCCTCCTTCTCCTTCCTAGGCTACTGGAAAACTCCTGAAGAATCTCAAGACATTCCTGGATTCTGACTATGGAAAGAGAAAACAGGAAGCTAACTATAAGGAAGATTTCACTTCAGTGGTGGAAGTCCCATGTCACAGTCCAACTGTGAGCTAGAGAAGAGGAGAGCTGTCGACTTAACTGTCATTTGCATCACATGCACCCAAGGAAAAAGTGTTTACCTGGTGGAGCCACGGTTAACCTTTTTTCCTTGCTGAGCCGATGCCCTTGGATGAGTTCACTCATGGAAGGGGAACCCTTCAGAAGAAATGATTCTGTGGAGGTGGGATCAGGGGGAACTCTTAATAAATTCTGTAGGTAGGAAGCCCCTGAAGTCCTGGGACGACTCTGATCACAAAGGGAAGGTGAAAATTGTCTTGCAGGAGATCCAAGAAAAATACATACAGGAAACAAAAAAGTTTGACTTTAATTACCTTTCAGCACCTCACCAGTGACAACATTAGTTATATTGGCATTTAATTAGCTTTTAAATATGAAACCCAAGATTTTTTTGTAATTCTTTAGTTTTCATATCAGGATACAACCCTTTTTGAAAACTACTCTGAATACTGGAATAGAAGTTTATTATAAACATTTTGAACCACAAATAGAAAATATATGTATTATTTGATTCTTAAGTGAAAGCTCCTCAAATGAACAACTTTAAATATAGTAACTAAAAACAGGGCAAGTAACCCAAAAACCAGAACGAGATAAGAGGTCACAAGGTCAAGTCACTAAAATCCTTAAAAGTGGTTTCTGAGAAATATTAACCTGACCAATGAAAACAGGCACAAAAACTTGCTTTTAAGAAAATGACTATACAAATTCAGTTACATCTTATGAAATAAAACCACAACCTTTCAATTAGTCATCACTTTTAGTCTTATGGACAAGCGTTCCCCAAGAGAACAAACTCATATCTTTGCCTAATGACATTAAAAACGACAAATAAGTTCCAGAGTAGAGCTTTTAAAATTACAGCCCATGTTCACTGATATTCATTTTCAATATCCACTTTATCTATCCATTTTTAGGTTGGAGGCTAGGAAGAGACATATTTATGACACAAACAGCAGCAAAAACATTAACAGACAGTTGAAAATTATGTTATGGTTAATCAGTATGTGTGAATGGGGTAGCAGAAAGACCAGCATTAGCAAAGCACTTAGCAGCTTTAATTTTTCCTTTTTCTTTTCTTTTCTCCATCCTACACAGTAAAAGCACATAATTTTTTACAGTCAATTAAAGGCTGTGCACTGTACCACACTATGACAATAGCTGCATGCATACCTTTTCCTCTGAGTGCCACTGCTGACCCGAATGGTAGGGATCTGTGGGCCCTGACTATGCAGGAGGTAAGTGTCTATGGTAGGCACGGTGGCTGGCGCCTCCCCACTTACTTTAGGGCTGCCGATCTTGCTCTTTCCAAGTTTGCCTTTGCTGCGTCGGGACTGCTCATGGTCAAACTCTAAGTCCTCCAGCCTCTGTGTCAGGGCGAGCTTTTGCTGGATAGCCATTCGCAATAAAGTGTTTAGAGTCTTCTTCTCATCTTCTGCAGCTGCTAACTGTCTCTGCATCTCATCCAACTGTGTGACATATTCATCACATCTGGAACCCAAGCAAAAGGGTGAGGAAGGAATCCTGGTAAAGCTAATCTGGAACTTAATTAGAAAGATATTGCTTTCTTATTGTCAGCCCAGATACTGATATCCACTATAGTCTCAAAACTTTTATTATGCAATACTGTTAGAATGATTAAAGAGCAATATTACATAGTATATTATTATATTTAATAATATCATTTAAGCTTCATCAGAGACATCTACATATAAAGGAAACATAGTGATCTATAGAGTTTGGTACTAGTGGTTTCAGAAATCCACTGGGGGTCTTGAGATATATTTCCCATAGATAAAGGGATTGTAATAAATTTGACTGGAATGTAGCAATAGATTGGAAATATTCTATAATAATAGACAATTGGAAGCAGTAGACTATGTTTAGTAATTGGTGATTCAGCCTCACAATGGAATCCATAAAGGGACATCTTAAATAAGCAGCATAAATCTCAAAGACAGTTATTATAGAAGCTGTTTTGGGGTGATAATACAATGTCACATAATATCCATTGCTACTTTAGGTATATTACAATCACAGTCTCTATTATATAACATTGTATCCTTTGCAAAAAGTTTGTCATATGTTATACCTACAGTATATATGCTATATCAAAAGTGATAATATTAATAAAAAGAACATTTTCCCTTTTATATGTATTTACAGGCTTTATTTTAAATGGAAGCAGATAATGTTTTCAATATGGCAGATTTCCCCCATGTTAAAAAATAAAAATTTCAATGAGTTTCCAACCAAATAATAAACCAGTGAGTTGTAAAAAAATGAAGATTGATGTTTGATTTAGGTACAGCAGGCCATTGGGAACATCTTCATCCAGGTTCATATTCATTCTGAAGCACAAAGACAAGCTCTGTGCTATTTCCCAACTGAAATTAAAACCTGAGTCCATCCACACACATTTGGAAAAAAGTCGGATGAGAAGAAAACTCACACTGAATTTCTGCTGAGTTAAAGATATTGGTAAGTTATTCTTCATGTACCACCAGATAACAGATGAGCTCAGAGAATTGTCCAAAATATATTATACAAACTGAAATCAGCACACGCTTGAGGAATTATACAGAAAGACAAAACTAAACACCAAAACAGGATCTATGATTAAAATACATTAGGTCCATGGGGTACTCATTTCCATAAATCCTTAATGTCAAGACTATGGGGACTATGTAGATCATGAGAAAGATCAGAGCTTACTAAAAACAAAATGAAGTTTAGGACCTTGGATTAATTCTTTTTGGTAACATTAAAATATTTTTAAAATATAAAGTAAGGCAATCAGTATACCTGAAAGAAACTAATGTCTGTGAAAATGGATTGCAAGGGAACAATACTTAAAATATGATCTAAACTGAGCATTTAAACATCCCTTTAAATTTCTCTCTCAAAGAAGAAATATGTGTTCTCTTAACTCTGAATATTATCCTAATTTCTTTCATCAAAAATGGGATCTTGTCTCCCTTTCCACTCTTTGTCCTGCATATATATGTATATATATATACATATATATGTACACATACATATATACATATATATGTATGCATATTCTAATTCTAATAAGCATATATGTATATATATTCTAAATATTTCTCTTTGCCATCTCTATGAGATTCAGTTGCAGGTGACCTCGAGCTCTATGTTCTTAGAATAAACATATTTCTAATCTTGGATTTGTCAATGTGGTATCTCATAATTTTCTTCATGCAAACTAAATATATTTATTCATGAGTATTGACAGTGCTCTTCCCATGTGAAATACTCAATTTTAGGGAGAAAAAAGTTACCTTGTTGCAAACATTGCTCTCAGGGATGAGAAGGTTGCAGCATCTTCTTTCAAAGCCTTTAGCTCATTCCTCAGTTTTGTCATTGTTTCAGTAACCATTGCCTTTTCATTTTCATATTTGTTCTTCAGGTTAGCTAAAGCCACTTCAGCTGTCTGAAGCATAAAATCACAGTATTTACCACTTCACACCAGAAAAAAACTGGCCCACACACTTTTTTTTAAATTGGATATTTTATTTACATTTCAGAAGTTATCCCCTTACCCCATTCCCCACCCCCCGGCCCTGGAACCCCCTATCTCATCCCCCCTCCTCCTGCTTCTATGAGGATGTGCCCCCACCTACCCCCACCACCTTCCCACCCACGAATTCCCCTACACTCAGCATCCAGCCTTCATGGGACCAAGGATCTCCTCTCCCACCTATGCCCGACAAGGCCATCCTCCCCTACATATACAGCCCTCCCCATGCGCTCCCAGGGTGGTGGTCTAGACCCTGGGAGCTCTGGTTGGTTGACATTGTTGCTCTCCTCATGGGGCTGTAAACCCTCTCAGCTCCCCCAGCTCCTTTTCTCTAATTCCTCCATTGGGAACCCCCTGACCAGTTCAATGGTTAGCTGTGAGCATCTGCCTCTGAACATGTCAGACTCTGGCAGACCTCCAAGGAGACAGCCACATCAGGCTCCTGTCAGCATGCACCTCCTAACATCCACATCAGCATCATTTCATTTGGAATAACAAAAAACCCAAGATAGCAAAAACTATTCTCAACAATAAAAGAACTTCTGGAGGAATCACCATCCCTGACCTCAAGCTGTACTACAGAGCAATAGTGATAAAAACTGCATGGTATTGGTACAGAGACAGGCAGGAAGATCAGTGGAATAGAATTGAAGACCCAGAAATGAATCCGCACAACTATGGTCACTTGATCTTTGACAAAGGAGCTAAAACTGTCCAGTGGAAAAAGGACAGCATTTTCAACAAATGGTGCTGGTTCAACTGGAGAACATGTAGAAGAATGCAAATCGATCCATTCTTATCTCCTTGTACAAAGCTCAAGTCCAAGTGGATAAAGGAACTTTACATAAAACCAGAGACACTGAAACTAATAGAAGAGGAGGTGGGAAGAACCTTGAATATTTGGGCACAGGGGAAAAGTTCCTGAACAGAACACCAATGGAGTGGTGTCCTATTTTGTAGTCCCACATGAATGCTTGTTTATAAGTTAGGACTTGTTTTTTCAATTAAGCCTCTTCACATTTTTAAAAAAGAAAAGTCTAGATTTCTATTTTAACTTTCAGAAAGAAGTCAGGAATAGTTTCACTCAGATTTGAGTAAAAGAAGAAGACACTCTAAAAAGGTAAAGAATCTTCATTCTCTAAAGAGCATGCACCCTCATACTCTATTTCCTGGCATTGCCTGTGTTTGAAAAAAAAAAAAAGGAGTTCATATGTTGCTGCTGCTTTTCATCAACACCAATATTTGTTCAGCACTCCTCTCAAATGGGTTTCAGAAAAACAGTTTTATTTTCCAGTGTGTGTGTGTGTGTGTGTGTGTGTGTGTGTGTGTGTGTGTGTGTATGTCCCCGCACTCAGGTAAAACTCAAGAATGGAAAGCAAACCAGTCATCAAGGAATTTGTCAGGTAGATTCATATTAAAATATCCTATTTATTACAGAGGGAAATGACCAGTAGTTAATAAAAACTCCATAATGCTTCAGTTTTGACCCACATACACTAATAACACAACTAACTATACATAAAGTTTACATATATGGTCAATGACACTATTAGACTTCAGAATTTGGGGGTGTTTTCTCTCTCTCCCTCTCATCTATCTCTTTCCATCTCTCCCTCTCTTCCTCTCTCTCTCATAGTTCCAAACTATTCCATTTGTTTGTAAAATTCTGCATCTGTTTACATCACTCAGATCCCCACAACTGTATTGTCCTTCATCTTTGATGCCATTACTTCATCATTTGGTTACTAAGTCTTATTTAAATCTGAAATGAAAGGCAAAACACCGTTTCTATCTTGAGACAGCCCTAGGAGTTGAGCCTTGAAGTTGAATCTCCATCTCTGAAGTTGGGTCTAGCTACTGCCTGTCAGACCTCTATCATCATGTCTGTACCAACATCCCATTCGTAGACTCAGGGTTAGTCTCCTCCCTTTCTCCCTGGTTGGTACAAGCTGTTAGGCAATCCCCTCCCAAAACCCTCCATTGGCTGTTTCCATTATCACTGCCTGGGTCTCTGGGCTTTACCTACAACTGGATCTCTTCTATGGCTTTACCTTCCTCATCACCTGTACTATATACTGCCTAGGTAGACACAACTGCTCTTCTATCCCAACCACCTCAAATTGTTTATTTATTATTTATTTATTTATTTAATTTATTTATTTAATCTATTATTAAACTTATTATTTTGAGAGAGAGAGAGAGGGATAAAGAGACAGAGAGAGAGAGAATATGAGTGTCATTTGTGATGGAGGCCCATTCATAACAGAGGACAATTTGCGGAGTTGTTTTTTTTTTTTTCCTTCTACCATACCTGTTTTGAGGACTGAACTTAGGCCATTAGGCTTGGCAGCAAGCATCTTTATCACTAAGCTATCTCCTTGGTCCTTTATACACTTTAAAATAAAACTACATTTTGATTGGCATTGGAATGTACTTTATTTTGCCCAGGAATTTGAACACTTATCTTGGCACTAAAAAACCAACAAAATTAAGGAAATAAATTAAGAAAGCTTTACTAGTATGCTTTCATCAGCAAAAGCATATTACCTGCTTATTGGCTTTCAACACTGCCCTCAGTGTGGCAATCTGCTCTCGTTTGGTGCTCAGCAAGGACTTCAGCTTGAGAATCTCTTCCATTAAGGCTTCCTTGTCCTTATCGATCATGGGGGCCAACTCTCGGGCTGCTGCTCTTTGACGAGACAGCTGTAAGGACCTGTCCACTGCTTTCTGTAGATGCTTGATTTGGTCCCGGATTATGGCATTAAGGTTGTAGATATTCATTGGCTCTTTGCGGATATCACTTGTATCCAAAACTGGAGATGACGGTGGGGCAGTAATAACAGGAGAGATTGTGGGAGTCTTAGTTGGACTTGGCTCTTTACTAGTCTCTGTGTTTTCCTTTGAAACTGGTTCAGATGATGTCCTTGATTCTACAGGGGATGACACACCCCTCCTGGATAATCTTGGTGACAAAAGTCCCCTGGGATCATCAGGCCCCTTGAGGCTGCCACTTCGAGTAACTCTGCTTTGCCTATAGTAGTCCAACATGACTCTATTGGGAGTTTCATTATTACATAGACACACATGGTGGTAAAGCTGGGCTAGTTCCTCACTAAATGTCACCAACTCATCCTGGGCTGTATTGAGGGTGTTGTGATTTTCGTTGGCTATGCCAGTCATCTTTTGCAACTCCTTCTCCATGTGGGCCATCTTCTCACCACTCTCCTTAGATGTCTTCTCAAGGTTTGTCACTTGTTCATCATACATTTGGATCTTACTCTCATATTTGGTCTTTTCTTCTGTATAATTTTCTACAGATTTATTATATTTTTCCTTTAAGGCCTTAATTTCTGCTTTCAAATCAATGACTTCCGTGACAGCCACTCTATATTTGCACTCAAGGATCTCTAAGCCATTGATGTCCACCTCATAGTCGTGGGCTTCCTCCACTGAGTTCCGGCCCTTCTCACAATCTAGCTCAGCCTTGAGCTCTTTGCTGTTTTGCAGGCCCCTCATAGCATTGACATGTTCTGTGAGCCGGTGCACTTGCTCATGCTGCTCTGTCAGTGCCCCCTTGGTGTGTTCTAGCTGGGTTTGTGACTCCTGGAGGTTGGCAAGAAGAATAGCTTTTTCCCGCTCTACCTGTAATGGCAGAAGACAATGTCTGAATAACTTCAGGGCAAAGCCAATAATGAACTCAATGCAGTTGGACAGGCATGTAGACATTTAAAATGACCACAGCAGAGCCAACACTCCCATTATTTCAAATTAAATTAAAGTGTTTCCTTATTTGAGTTCCAGTAAATCAATATAAAAATACCTAGTTTGTAATGTGGAATTTTATGGAAGCCAAGACATTTGAATTTTTCATAAAGAAAATGGAAAAAATCTTTATTGTTGCATTGTGATCTCAGCAAAAAGCACACACACACACACACACACACGCTCTTCTGTGCTCTTTTTTCTTTGAAAACTAAATGAATAGCCTTTAAAGTTTAAGCACTATTAAAACAAAATGAAGATTTTTCCAACTGGCTTTTTCTTCTGGAAAAGACTTTTTATAAATTTTAATCAAAACAAAAAGTACTGGATGTCTCTCAAGTTTATTAATGGGATAGAATGCCTTGATAAATGAGATAATGCATTTAGAACAGTTTGGGGGTCTAGTTTGTAATTTGTTTGAATTTAATATAACATTTTCTAAAACCCACCAGTTTCTTCATTATAGCAACAACAGAACAAAATGAAACAGAACATGTTCTCTCCTTGTGTGTCAAAAATCCCATAACATACTACATACCATCAACACGAATTCATCTTGCAGATTTAAATGAAGCTCTTACCTGAATAAGCTGCTGCTTCAATTTCTGAATTTCTGAAATGTTCAACTCACTGAATAAGTCAGACACAGGATGTAGAGACTCTCCTTTCCTGGTAGTGGGAGTACGATAGTCTCCATTCAGTTTCCCAAGAGGCCCATGGATATGCCCATTCATCTTGTCATCATTGTTTGGCTCACTTCCATCCTCAGCAAACTTGAGCCCATCTACTGAGATGCTGATGTGGTTATCACTGAGGTTGATGTACTGGGACAGCTCCTTCCTCAGGTTGTTCTTTTGCTCTCTTTCATTCTTCAGTGTCTCAAGGGCTTCTTCCAACTGATGCTCTGCAATCTCTTTCAGTCGAATGGCATCTTCTAGTTGGCTATTCAGCAATACTGTTTCTTCTTCAAATCGCTTAATTTCATGCTTTAAGCCTTCATATTCAACCTAAGTTAGATAGGTTAAAGAAGATTCATAAAACTAAAATTTGGGCCTTATAAAACTCCCATTAAACACTTTAGTAGACTTAATCATTTTAAAAAAAAAAGTATAGCAGTCTACAAAATAAATAATAAAAAGTATATACCATATTCTTATGGTAATACACCATAGACAGTTACAAATATATACATACACACATATCTATCTATCTGTCTATCTATCTATCTATCTATCTATCTATCTATCCAACTAGCCATATTTTAAAAAATAAAAATATATAATTTAACACCTAGAAGAGAGGAAAAGATGTTTACTGTATTAAGACATTTTAAAAGATCCAACAAAGTTGTTTTCCTAACAAATAATGATAAAATATATTTGGTAATTATTTATCAAAATTTTCAATATTCACCACCCAAGAAAAAATTTTTTACCATCATTAAATGAAAAGGAAGTTTTAGCATTCATACAAACATTTGTTTAAAAGATCACAATAAAAACAAAATTTCAATAAAATATGTTTGAGATTAAGATAAAAAAAATCCCAAAATAATTAATCCCAAATAATAAATATCTATATATACTATTAGTAATTTAACATTCTTTTGAATTATAATAAGCAAGAGCCTGCTCAAACAACCTTTGGTCATAAGAACCATTAATAACAGTATCTCTGAGCTGGTATGCCTTCCTGAAGACTTTTCCATGCTACTAACTATATGCTACCCTTTATGTTTAAAAACATGTTATCTAGTTGGGTATGGTGACACATGCCTTTAATCCCAGCTTTCAGGAGACAGAAACAGGTGGGTCTCTGTGTTTGAGGCCAGCCTGATCTACAAAGTTCCAGGATAGCTAGGGCTACATAGAGAAACCCTGTCTTGAAAACAAACAAACAAACAAAAATAAGCAAGCAAACAAACAAACAAATAAAGCATGTTATCTTGGCCACATATAGTGGTATATACCTTTAATCCCAGCACTCTGGAGGCAGAGGCAAGCATATCTCTGTGAGTTTGAGACCAGCTTGGACTACAAAGTAAGTTTCCAGGCCAGCAAGAGTTACATAGTGAGACCCTGTCACAAAACAAACAAACCAAAAGTACTCTTTTATTCTCCTAAGTATCCCTCAGTATGTCAATGCTCCCTCCATAATATTTAAAACCAAATTCTGCTCTTCAATAAACAATTTGCTTAATAAATAACTACTCTGAAAAAAAACAGAATAAATAACAAATATAGTATTAGATACTAACATAAATTGTGCATTTAGTTTTGTATGTATTTGTATTTTCATTGTTTAAATTGAAACCAGGATCATAGACCATTATTACTTTCATATACATTTTACTCCCCCTCCTCCCTTTCAAAATCTTAATTGCTTATTTTGAAAATTTTGAGGTATCAGTTTAGTTGGGATGTAGATTTGGCTGATATAAACAAGACTTATTTAAAAATACCTTAGTTGAGATAGAAGAATTTTACCCTATGTAACAGAATAAGGATAGTCAAGGCAAGTTTGGAATCTCAGCTTCATGAGTTTGTCTGTGAACAAGGCTTCTCTCTTGCTACATAACCTCCTACTATAGTTCACACAATACAGCAGGTGGTGAGAGGTGTCCCAGAAGATTGAAGGAAAGGATATATCCTTTCCCTTTAAGGATGTCTCAAAGTTTCCCATATTGCTTTTCTTCATATACATATAACATTTTGCTGTAAGGAAAGTAAAAATGTAATCTCTAGTAGGGTAAGACTTGTATAGTTATGAAAGAAAGTTAACAGCAGCAGCATTCAGGGTTATAGACAGTCACTAGACCAATGGTTCATGGAACACACCATGGAATATCCATGTATAAAAGCTGTTTCTAAGATTTAATTACATATGGGAATGAGGAGAGTATTAATTCTTAACAGAATGGTCACCACCCTACAGCTTGTAATAAACTCGATAAGGCATATGAATAAACAATGTTTGTAGGAATGTGTTCACCACACTGTGAGGCAAAAGATACATTATATAAAAACACAGCACAGATACTTCTAAAGAAAAAACAAATGTCATTATAATTTTAATATTTCCATAACAGAATCGCTCAAAAAAGTCAAGTAGAAAGATGTGTTGTCTTAGTTACTTTTCTGTTTCTGTGAAAGGCACAATGACCAAGGATACTTATAGAAGAAAGAGTTTGTTGAGGGGTTACAGTTTCAGAGGGTTAGGGTTTATGATCACTACAGTGGTGAGCATGGTAGCAGGCAGGTAAGAATGGCACTGAAGCAGTAGCTGAGAGCTTACATCTTGATCCACAAGTATGAGGCAAAGAGAGAGCTAACTGGGAATTGTATGGGCTTTGGAACCTTAAAGCCTACCACAGTGGCATACCTCCTCCAATTCTTCCCAAACAGTTTTACCAATTAGGGACCAAGTAGTCAAATATATGAACCCATCAAAATCATTCTCTTTCAAACCATTATGTTCCACTCCCTAGTTCCCATAGAATCATGCGTTTAGTACAACTTAAAGAGTCCTCAGTCTTTTACAGTCTCAGTATAGTTTAAAAGTCCAAAGTCTCTTCTGAGACTCAAGGAAATCTCTACAATCCTCAGTAAAATCAAAAGAAAAAAAAAGCATACTTTCACAATACAATGGCACAGACTATACATACCATTCCAAAAGGAAGATGTCATAGTAAGGATATGCTGGACCAAAGTCATACCAAAACCTAGCAGAGAAGACTCCAAACCTTATAAGTACATGTCTGATGCCAAAGAGCATAGATACCTCCACAGTTCTAGCTTTTCCTAACTGTAACACACTTATCTTTCAAGCTTGCCCCATTCCCTGTCTGCAGATTTCCTTGGCGGATATCACAAGGCTATAGCACTTTTAACATCTTTGGATCTCCAACACAACCTAGGCCTCACTTTCACAACTTGACATAATGGCCTCTTTACATGAGCACCTTCTTTTCACAAACTGCAGTCTTAGTTTGGTGGGGTCTTGCCCTCAGGGCACAACTTCCTTTATTCCATTTTGCATCAGGTCTCCTTAATTGCTTTCAGAACAAGCCTGTTCCAACACTAAATTTTCAGGTGCTCTTTTTTTCCCCAAACAGTATATTTTGTATTTCTTTTCCCTTCTTGCTTTCTTTCACTGTAGTCCTGTATAAGAGTGATCACTAATAACCACATGATGAGTCAATATTAGTCTATCTTGAAATCTCTTCTGCCAACAAAAATATTCCCAAACTTCAATTTAGCTTCAGGTAGATTCTTAGAATAAAGAAAAAAAAAGGCAGCCACATTCTTTGCCAGAATTATCACAAGAATTGTTTTTAGACCAGTTGTTAATATTGTTCTCCTCTGAAATTTCTTAAGTTGGGTCTCTATAGTCCACATTGATCTCAACACTACTGCCTTTGAAGCTCCTATTAAGGATGGTCCATTAAGTCCCATTTAAAATATTCAATCACTTTCTTAGTCTAAATTCCCCAAATCTTCCACGTTTCTCTAATAAATAGCATGGCCATGCCTTTTACAGAAAGAAAAGTGTTATTAAAACACAAACACAGTGATATGTTAATGCTTTGCCTAGGCTGAGTTGCACACTACATGGTGTAGAGTAGGATAGTTGTTTAAGGGAAATTATATAGCCTATAAAATCTAAAATATTTATACATCTAGAAAAAAGAGATGCATAAATTTCTTTTTTTTTTCAATGCTGTACTATTTTTATTGGATATTTTACTTATTTACATTTCAAAAACATTTGGGAAATAACATCCCCTTTCCCAGTTTCCCCTCTAGAAACCCCTTATCCTATCCCCCTCCTCCTTCTTCTATGAGGATGCTCCCCCACCCATGCACTACCACCTCATTTCCCTGGCATTCCCCTACACTGGGGCATCAAGCCTTCACAGAACCAAGGGCCTCGCCTCCCATTGATGCCAGATAAAACCATCCTCTGCTACATATGCAGCTGGAGCCATGAGTACCTCCATGTGTACTCTTTGGTTGGTGGTTTAGTCCCTGGAAGCTCTGGGGGGTCTGGTTGCTTGATATTGTTGTTCTTCCTATGCAAACCACTTCAGTTCCTTCAGTCCTTTCCCTAACTCCTCCCTTGGGGTCCCTGTGCTCAGTCCAATGGTTGGCTGTGAGCATCTGCATCTGTATTTGTCAGGCTCTGGTGGAGCCTCTCCAGAGACAGCTATATCAGGCTCCTGTCAGCAAGCACTTCTTGGCATCCACAATAGTGTCTGGGCTTGGTGTCTGTATATCAGATAAATTTCTCTTAAAACTGAGTTCTCATATTTCAGTTAGCACCTGAGCTAATGAACACTCCTAGGCATCTTGGTACTCTTCTAAGGATACCTAATAGTGGCCTATTCAACCTCCTAGGAAAATTACATGCAGTTTCAGATACTCCACACACTGTCTGTTCACTCCTGCTCATGCAGAGGTTCCAGTAGGACCACAGAAGTCAATGGAATAGCCACTTGGAACATTATTAATTTAAATGAACTTGTCTCTAAGTCTTCTGTGTTCTTTATCACTAACTACCCCCCCACACACAAACATACATACCAACAAATATAACCTTATAGTTTGTAAGTATCTGAGGACTCTATTTAGAAAAGAAATGTATTTTTCAAGTCTAAATTTCTCCATTAGGACTTACTTATTCCAGCCACATCAGACTTAAATGTCTTGTGTGTAGGGTTGCCTATCAGCTATTGCATAGGAAACTCACTACACATAGTGGAAAGAACGATGTGAATATACATGGGGTATCCTGGTAACCCTCTTGATTGGCTGAATCAATGCCTTCCCTCACATTCCTAAGTAGACATCTTGTTCCTGCAACACTCAAAAGCTGGAGGCAGGGAGAATGGGAAGGGGATAGAAGCTATGATCAGAAATGAATTTTCAATTTTGTCAGTCTATGGATTTATTTTCTCTTTTGAGTTTTTTCCATCCCCCATTAACCCTTACTTTTATAAAACTCAACAACATTTTAGACCTTGGTACCAAACTGAAAGGGGAGAAAAAGTAGAATCATGCATTGTGGGTTGTTTCCAAATTTACCAAAGTCAAAACCCATACTCTATAGATTCCCATATCTCACCAGCTTAATATTGTGTCTGGTACTTGGTTGATGTCCTGACTGAATGATTATAATAGATTTAAACTAGATGTAAATAGCTTTATACTTGTTTTAGAGCAAGACCCTCTGAAAGATTAGAACTTTCAGTTCATCTTTGATGAATTACTTGAGACAATGTATTTATAAATAAATTATCATATTGCAGATTTAAGAATACAAACAACAATAATTGTGAAAACTCACAGTGCAAACCAATTAGGAAAACTAATATTGTGATTTGGAGGTGAAATATCCCCCAATCTACTCATATGTATGAACACTTAGTCACCAGATGGAGGTGCTATTTGGAAAGGTTATGAAACCTTTGGGAGGTAGAAAAAGTGAGTTACTAGGGATAGACTTTAAATATTTATAATCTGGCCAGCTTCATGCTCCTGCCTCTATCCCTTCTCTACCTGCAATCATGCCTTCTCCATCGTGATGATCTGTTACCTCTGAGCTCTAAAAGACAAAATGAACCTTTTCTCCATTAAGTTGCTTTTTTCAGAGTATTTTAATCACAGCAAAAAGAAAGTAGATAAGACATAATTTGGGACCATGAAGTAAGGTTATTGTTGTAATAAACCTGACCATAAGATTCTTAAGCATTGGGAACTGGGTTGTTGGGAGAATCTGGAAGAATTTGGAACTTTGGGCTAGAAAAGCTCTTGAATGGTGTAAACAAAGCTTAATGGGTTGTTCTGGTGGGAATTTGGAAACTCAAAGGAAGAAAGAAATGAAGATAGTGGTGGGTTGGCTTATGATATTTCAGAGGGGAACAAAGAGTCTATCAGGAACTAGGAAAAATGCTATTCATGTGATACTCTAGCAAAGCATCTGGTGATATTCTGCATATGTTCTGAGAATTTATTTAAGCCTGAATTAAAATGTAATCTGATACGTTTTGTTGGTGAGATGTTTAGGCATGACAGAATTCTATGTGTGGCATAGTTATTACTATTTTGTGTAGGTCTGCAGTGATAAAGAGTAATAATTGAGGTAAAAGAGTGTTTTTAGAAAGCCAAAGCTCTACTGCCCATGTAATTTTCAGCTTCTGGAAAGCAATTACATAGGGAAATATTTCCCTAGTGTCAGCACACAGATTCTAATAACAACTGTGATATGAAGGAGCCATGATCCATCCTAAAGTGGCACCAGAACTTACTAGTGTCTGCTAGTACCATGTGGCACTGGATTTGCAGGCATGAGAGATGCAATATTGAAAGGGTTGTGTAGTCTCCTTCCACAGTTTCAAAGAACTATTGAGACCAAACAGTATGTGCTATGGATAAAGTTCCTGAAAGAAGGTCCTGAAAGACCCCTGTGTGAAGCTGTGAGGGTGAATACTAAGCTATAGTGGAGACCCAGAATATTGAAGATACCAGGACCAGGAGACATCCGGCAAGGAAAGCTGTAGGTGTGGTATGAAGCCTACCTGAGAGAGAGACTATGTGTGCTGCAGAAGGCGAGATAAAAGAACGGGCCCAGCCAATTTCATCACAAGCTCCAGATGGCAGACATGAAGCTGTAGGATTTAGTTAGACTAAATACATTTTGCACCGAGTGATGGTCATGAGTCTAGAGGAGCCAGAATGTTGTGGTTTGAATGTTAAATACACCCGATATGATCACATGTTTGAATACATGACTCCTACCTATGGTCCTGCTTGGGAAGGTTGTGGGACTTTTAGAAGATAGTCTTGATGGTGGAAGTTGGTCACTAGGGGTCACTAGGCCTTATGGCCCAGGCCCACTACCTGATCACCGTCTGCTTTCCGGAGGCAAATGAAATATGACCATTTAACCCTGTGTTTCTGTTGCCATGTCTTTCCTGCTTGTTACTACTATGCATTCTCCTCCATTATGGACTATGTCCCCAAGAACTGTAAAGCAAAACAAATCCTTTCTCCTTCAAGTTGTTTTTGTTGGGATATTGTGTTACAGCAACAAAAAGAAACTAAGACACCATCTAGGCCTCATTACAGGAAAAAAATGTAAATTACAAAGGAGTTTTATAATGAAGTTACAGCTGAAAAACAAATTGAACATTTTTTCTCATTATTTTCTTCCTATTAATTTATACTTTTCTATATGTACTGATAACAATTTGCCCAAAAAATAAGACAGACAGACAAGAAGGAGGAGGAGGAAGGAAAAGAGAAGGAGAGATGAAATGGAAAGAAAACAAAGAAAAAAGAAGGGAAGGAAGAAAGGGGAGGGAGGAGAAATCATAAGAGAAAGGCAAAGGAGACAGAAAAGGAAAGAAATGGAAGAAGAAAGAAGAGAGAAAGGAAGGAAAGGGAATGAAGAAGGAATTGGGTAAAGGAAGGGAGAATGGGAAAGGAAGGATGAAAGGGAAGGGAAGAGAGTGGAGGGAGACAGAGAAGGAAAGATAGAAGGGAAAGGAAAGAAAGGGGAAGAGGAGAAAGACAAACAAGTGCTTATAGGAAGATCTTGAGGATGCCATGTAAAACAAGTTAGTATACTCAGCAACAATGAGAAGTTGCTAAATTAAATTTACTATAATACATTTGACTTACTACTAAAACAAATTAGCACAGAGCTAAAATAAATGAGCATTCTTCTTACTTAATAAACAGTAAAGTATACTACTTACATGATTTTTTTTCTTGTATATTTTAGCTGACATAGGAAGATTGAAAAATTCCAGTATACAAATGAAAAGAGTATAAGAAAAAACTGACAAGCTCTTTCCTAAGAAATAAAATATAAGCTGGGCGGTGGTGGCGCACGCCTTTAATCCCAGCACTTGGGAGGCAGAGGCAGGCGGATTTCTGAGTTCGAGGCCAGCCTGGTCTACAGAGTGAGTTCCAGGATAGCCAGGGCTATACAGAGAAACTCTGTCTCGAAAAACCAAAAAAAAAAAAAAAAAAAAAAAAGAGAGAGAGAGAGAGAGAGAGAGAGAGAGAGAGAGAAAGTATAGAGCTGAAGAGGTGGCTTAGCAGTTAAGAGCACATATTGCTCTTCCAGAGTACTTCTGTGTGTGCTCATACACAGACAACAAATAGTAAAGACAAGTCTTTAGAAAAAAAGAAAGGGAAGAGTAAACCTCATTTATTAGAACATGTGAATCCATCTGTGGTATGACTTTTTTAAAACTCTTAAACCTCACCTGGTTCTGCTTTAATGTGGACACTAGTTTCTGCAATGTGATATTTTCTTCTTCCAATTCTGTGTAGTCCTGAAGTAGTCGGGCCTCCCGGAATTTATATTCTCGGATTTCATCTTTCATTCGTATTCTCTGTAGCTCCACCATCTCATTGTTCTGAAACAATACAAAAAAAAAATCAGTATAACTTTTCTCTATTCTAGGTTTCAGTAAATGTAGACAAAAACCTGGTAGCTAAATGATAGAATGATTTCCTACATTTAAATTGGTACACTTTTTAAGATGACAATTTAATGATATCCATTAAAACTTTTAGATCACATATACCAGACTCAGCAATCTGATATTTAAAAATTATTCTTAAACACATTTTCAAAGAAATAAATAAAGAGTTAAGCAAATTAATGTTTATTCACACAAAGAATGGGAAATAGGCTATATTTTTGTTATTTGGAGTAATGCTGAAATAAATTATTTTCTTTAAATTACAAAACTATTCAAAATTATGAGAAATACAACCAAGAGAAACTTTAATTTATTAAAAGAGAACCATAGCTACAATATATCATTAAATGAAAAAATAAGCTGTAGACTAGTATGCACAGTAGTGTCTCGTGTGTACTAAAAATAAGAGAGTGGGCTCAGTGGTGAAGAGCATTTGCTGCTCTTCCAGAGGACATGGATTGAATTTCCAGAACTCACAGGATAGCTCACAACCATTTGTAACTCTAGTTCAGCATATTCCATGCCTTCTTCAGTCTCCACAGGCAACAGGCATGCACTCAATGCACTTACATACATATAGAGAAAATATTCATACTCACAAAATAAAAACAAATATTTGTAAAGATTTATATTTAAAAATAGATAAATAAGGGGGAGGGACTGTGTACTGTGGTACACATCTGGATTTCCAGAACTTAGAAGGCTGAAGGAGAATCATGGACAGCTTGGGTTATATAAGACTCTATCTCAAAAAACAAAACAGTAAAAATGAGTAAAGTGAGTGTATATATGTGTACGTGCACACACAAACCTCACTTTCATGTTATAAACATATTTATGAAAATTCTCCCCAAACTTTCAATAGTGATTATTTAGCAGGGGTAGGGCTAGGCAGAGCATAGCAATAAAAAAAGGGCCTATTACTTTAATTTTATAACTTATTGAGACCCTATATAAAATTCTCCATTGTTTAAAAACTCTTTATTGTTGACCTCCACTCCATGTATCTTCATTCTTTATTCACTTTCCATCTCTGTAGAAACATGTACTAATGATTCACCCATGCTAATTTATGACTGATATGACTTATCACTCTTAAGTATGAGTACAATTAATGAGAGAAGGAGAGACACATCTTTGTGTCCATAGCTTGAAAGATAAATAGACATCCTCAAATAAAAAGAGGTTCAGGAAACACTGATAGGTTAAAACTACACATTTTTTTTTCTTCTAGGTCTCTCAGAACCTTTAAAATCCTAGTGTACATTAAGTCTGTTAGAGGAAAAATGCAGTATTTACCATTTGTTAAATGTATTTGACCATAAGACCTTAAATCTTTTCAAGGAATATTTTAAACAATTTATAGACAAAATCATTAGAAATGATAGTATCATAGAGGCAGAGAAGCACAACTTCCAGCTAGTGAAAACCTAAACAGAGAGTTGACAAGAACACATCCTGCCTCCTATAGCCCAAGGGTCAGAGGAAGCCAGATTGCTGTCATATATCACAGGTCAAAGTTAACTATTCCCACAACAGGCACATGTCACATTCACAGGTCACATTTTAACCAGGCCTACTCTTGTGTAAAATTCTTCATTTAACAATTTTTCTAAAACTGTACTATGTACTTTCCAGGCATCTGTCTCCCAGCCCAAACCACAGACAAGTAGAATTTTTCAGTCTAACTTAGTAGTACAAAGGAGTCTTTACTTACTCCCTTGTGCTACAACTGTAAACTAAATCATTTTCTTTTCTTTGCAAAATAGCCTATCTCAGGTACTTTATTATAGTAATAAAAAGCACCAATTACATACTGGCAAATGATAGTTTTATTTCATGTTTATTATATGCATGGATGTTTTGCCTGCATGTATGTATGTGCATCACTTAATACCTGGTGCCCAGAGAGGCCAGAAGATGGCACTGGAATTAGAGTTACAGATGCTTGCCAGTCACTATGTGGATGCTGGGAATCAAAGCTAGGGCAATCAGTTAAATGAACTATAATATGTTAATACAGTAGAATAATATCCAGCTATAATTTGATGTTGAAATATCCAACAAAGATATCAAATGCATTATGATAGGAAAAAGGAAACAGTCTCAAAACTACATACTAAATGATTTCACTTTTGTGACCTTCTTGAAAAAACAAATAAAAGCTATAATAAAAGAAGACAGATTATTTGTTTTAAAGGCATCTGCCTAGTTTTCTATAGGGATTAAAGATATTGACTAGATAACCAATGAAAGTTTGAAACAGAAAAAATTAAAACTGAGTTGAACATTTAAGGAGAAAGTCAGTACATAGATCCAATGGTTTGCATTTTTAAGGATTTCCAAGGTAAAGATAGTTGGTAATAGTCAGTAGTGAGTAGTGACTCCTTCTCCTTCTCCTTCTCCTTCTCCTCCTCCTCCTCCTCCTCCTCCTCCTCCTCCTCCTCCTCCTCCTTCTCCTCCTTTTCCTCTTCCTCCTCCTCCTCTTTATTCTCCTCCTCCTTCTCCTTCTCCTCCCCCTTCTCTTTCTCTTTCCTCTTCCTCCTCCTCTTCTACTATTCCTCCTTCTTCTCTTTCTCCTCCTCTTTCTCCTCCTTCTCTTTCTCCTCCTCCTCCTCTTCCTCCTCTTCTTCTACTCCTTCTTCCTCTTTTTTAACACATTGTAAACAGATGTATTGACTGATATTGGTCATAGTTCCTGCAGTATAGAGAGAAGCTCACCAAGATGCTAATCCTTCATTTTCTGAAGGTGCAAAGGGTACAGCCACTCCAAGAAGACTGACATCCAGCTAGCTCACTCCAGTTACTTTATTCAAACACCATACAAGGTTAACTGAGGCTGGGAAAGGTTCCAACTGCCAAAGTTATCTTGCCCTGTTGCTCATGAGAGCAGACAACCCACACAAATCTTAGTCCCTTTTGACAATGGCTAACCATAATCAAAAGTAAGAATTCCAGGTTTGCCAGGAGTGTCTTAGGTCTAAGATTAGTGCAGCTGTAAGCTCTCATGTAGCACCAAGTGCAGAATTCTATAAAGACAACATTTCTTCAAGGTTCAAACAGTCTCATAACAATTTCTCAGCCTCTATTGATCAACCTAAACATAACAAACACTTTACTATACATTTGACTACACAGATGCTGCAAAACAAACTAAAGAATGACCAGGGTCTGACCTCAAACCACATGACTTCAGACCACATTCTGAGAAGAAGATGATGAGACAGTTTTGTCAAAATAAACTTGTTGGTGATAAGCTAAACCTGTCCAGACAAATAGAAAACTAAAGAAATTATTCTCTATATATTCAAAAACTAGAAACACAGTTGGCAAAACATAGTGAATCAATTCTTCATTTAACCAAAAAGTAACAAGTACACCGGCCAAGCACTAGCATGGGAACCTTGTTGGGAGGGAGGAGACAGAAAATAAGAACTACATTTTTTTCCAACATAATGTTTTTACTGATTATTTGGGAATTTCACATAATTCATCCACTCACACACACTTCCCAGTCTTCTAGCATCCACCCTTCCCTTTGTGGTCCTCCTCCCCAAAAAAAGAAGAAAAGAAAAGAAAGAAAAGAGAAGAGAAGAGAAGAGAAGAGAAGAGAAGAGAAGAAAAGAAAAGAAAAAAGAAAAGAAAAAGCAAGTCACTTTGTGTTGCCCATTTATTCACTGGAGCATGATCACACTCCCAGTGGCCAGTCACTTAAAGAAAACTGAGGGGCTGGAGAGATGACTCAGCCGTTAAAGGCTAGGCTCACAACTAAAAATATAAGAGTTTGGTTCCCAGCACCCACAGCTGTCTCTCCAGCCACAAAAAAAAAAAAAAAAAAGAAAAAGAAAAAGAAAAAGAAAAGAAAACTGAGATCTGTGTCCCTCTCGCCCTACCTCACCCTGCCAAAAGTCATCAATTGTGGGGAGCAACACTTCAGCATCCTTATCACAATTTTTAAGAGTTCTTTTCAATGAATCATTCATTCTCTCTCTCTCTCCCTCCTTCCCTCCCTCCCCCCCCCTCTCTGGTGGTAGTGGTGGAATATCATCTCCATGCTGAATAGAAAGAAGCTTAATACTATAACCCATGTGTTAAAGAGTTAGTCTATAGCTTGGCCCTATTGTTTAAATTTGCTTGTTAACCTAACTGGATTAAAAATATCTAGTGGAGTTGGTGAAACACGTCTCTGTAAGAGGATTTCTAAAGACAATTGGATCTTGAAAGACAAATCTTAAAGGGAATTGGCTTGTTTACCTCTTTCAGTTCCTGTACAACAGCTGAGAGCCTCTCATTTTCTGCCTGGACATTTGTAACCACAGCCCGGCTCTGCTTCAGCTCATTCTGCATCTCCAAGATCTTGTTTAGATAGTAAGCTTCCTTGGATGCAGACTCCTGAAGAAGTGTTTCCTCCCGAGTCTCTCCATCCTCAGCCACTTTACGGTGAATAGAGAAGGACTGCCCAAATGCCTGCAGAGAATTTGGAAAGAGAGAATGCACAATGAAAAACACCTCAAGATAATTGAACAGACTTAGCCAAATGTTTTATTTGGTTTTGCATATAAGAAAGCTACTCTGAAATACTGCTAGATACGAAAAGTAATAATAAATGAATATACATACACAAATGTGTAACAGTCCATCATGTCTAATGCTTCTAATAATTCATACCCAGTCTGGGAGGATTGAGCCCTGGCTCTCACTTAGACTAAGTACATGTTAAATACCTAAGGTATACTTCCAGCCTTTTCAAATGCAATTATAAGGTAAAGAAAAAATTTAAATATCTTGCAAAAATGTATTAGTCAAAGAAAACTTAAAAACATTGTTAGGTGCTTTATGCTACATTGTTTAGATATATCCTATAGCTCATTAAATTTTATGTTAATGTTTTCTTTCTAGAAAACATCCACAAATATTTTCCAAGAAAGAAAATAGTTGCATCAATTTTTAGTACATTGGCAATAATGCTAGACCAATTATGGATAATACCCTTAAGGGGAAAAAAAAACCCACTGTCTCCCCTGTTATTTGGATGTTTCTTTAGGATTGCTTTCATAAATTTTAGAAAGCTTCCACTGTATTGGGCTTCCATACTACCCCTCAATTCTAGCTGTCTCTCCCTGCATTCCTTCCCCCTGACCTGATCCTCTTGTTCCAGTCCCCACCACCAGTGCACACATAAAATGTACTCTAGTTCCCCTGGGAAATTTTCAGGGAGATCAATATGTTCCCCCCTTCCCTGAGGGACAAGCCTGACTGCATAAGGGTTGATGTCAAAAGTATCCCCTCTCCAGAAAAAAGACATCGGGATGGGTATGGCCCTCATGCCTCACTGGACAACAAAAGGGGACTGGAGCCATTACAAGGTCCCCTTCAAATACTGGAGGTCAGGCCTCTATCCCCGCCTTCGCAAGTTTAGAATTGCCACAGCCCTTCTATACTTAGAGAAGGGAGGAGATGTCAGGGGCAGCCCTGCTTACCCACTGAAGGCCTAAAATCAACCATAGGCCTAAAATCAGCAATAGGCCTGTCATACATGTATACTAACACCAAGTCTTGGGTCTCAGTGGAAAAACATTGAAACAGATGGCTATAAGCTAATGTAAACAGGCAGCTTTTATAGAAATTTACAAGCCTGAGAAGTCATAGACCTTGTAAATAGGTAGCCTGGGCAGACAATACCAACTTAGATAAGGACAAGCAAGTCATAGGCAGAGTCATAGTGACTTGTCCCCTGAACCTTCACCCAGCCAATACCCGGTTCTGATGATATCTGTATTCCCCCTGATCACCCACACTCCAGTGTCATTCCCTTCCCCACATCCTGCCTTTCTGTATTTATAACCCCTGTGTGAATGAATTACGACTTGAGAAAAAATAAATTATTAAAAAAAAAGTAAAAAAAAAATATATGTTCCCCCCTTTGTTACATAACTTCTCTGGGTCTGTAGATTGTAGTGTGATTATCCTTTGGCACCCTCCCATCCTTGTGCTCTCTCCCACAAACAACAAACAAACAAACCACATTCAATTTGTGTTGCCTATATCCTCATGACCATGACTAATGGTCAAACTCCCAATGGCCAGCCCCTTAAAATAACTGAGTCCTTCCCTATAACACCCGCCCAGCCAGAAGCCATAAACTGTGAAGAGCTACACTTAAGCATTTTTATCACAATTTTTAAGAACTCCCTTTAATTGCTTCCTGTTTGGACAGTTTCTTTTTTTTTTTCCGGGGGTGGGGGCATTGCCATTGAAGCCATTAATGTCTTTAATTCTCAATTGTGAGTCTGCAGTCATCGATAACACTGCAAAAGAAACATCCCTGCCCATAACAGCCAGTGATAATATGCACCATATTTTCAATACTTCTTAAATATCCTCAAAGTTAATTTAGCACTCATGAAATTTTTTATCCCAATACAATACCCAATAGCTTCTTAATTAAATATGTCAACTTAAGGCCTAATTTTTTTCACTTTTGCTATTAATTTTTAGGTTACCATACAAAGTAATGGGATTTCATTGTGACATCTTTATATGTGTATCATTTTCTTTGTTCTCATCTGTTCCTTTTCCCCACTTCCGTCTCCTGTGCTCTCTTACCCTCCCTCCCAGTAGTTCTTTTCTTTCACTCAGTCCTCCTACTCGTATGTCACATGTATTCCACTATCTTCTCTATTTCCTATCCCCTTAAAATCCTTTTCCTTCCATCTGGTTCTCTCTCTCTCTCTCTCTCTCTCTCTCTCTCTCTCTCTCTCTCACACACACACACACACACACCCCGGGGGGGAGGGAAGGAGGGGGGAGGAAGGAGGAGGGAGAGGGAGAGAGAGAGAGAGAGAGAAAGAGAGAGAGAGAAATTTGAAATATAGGTTCCACATGTAAATATGTGTCATTTATCTTCTGAATCTGAAAAAACGTGTTTGTTTGTTTGTTTGTTTGTTTAGATTAAGCTTTATTTTTAATTGTGTGTATTAAACAGTTGTCTGTGCATATGTGAGTGCAGGTGCCTTCAGAATCTGGAAAAAAACATAAAATATCTTGAAGCTGGAATTATAGGAAGCTGTGGGCTACCCAGTATGGATGCTGGGAATTTAACTCCAGTACTCTGAATGAAGCACTTTTAACAGTTGAACTATCTCTCAAGCCACAAGCAATTTTTTTCTTCTTGATAGTTTGTAAAGGGTTAGGGCTCTGGCTTGTTCAACAAATTCTCTTTTTAACTATCTGAGATATTTCAGAACTTCATTATATGCTAAATATACATAAAAGAAAATATATGACAAACTACAACAAAAATAAACAAATGTTTATAACTTAAAAAAACCATAGCAGACTCTATTAGCCCCAAAAATCTGTCCACATTTTATTGTTCTTGTCTCCCTCATTGTATTCCCAGCTTCTGCCCAAATTAACACAATCCAAATATCATTTTTTTCATTTTATTTATTCTTCACCACATTTGTATGCATTTGTTAAAATATATTTTATATGATTTTTAAATTTACATGTTGGAAACCGTCCTTACGTAGTCTGTTGTAATTTGTTTTTGTAACTGTATTACAAATTTGCAAAATCTGTTCCTTTTGCTTACAATATTGCATCTTTCATTGCTATAATCTAATGTTTAAGTCTGATAATCTACCTGAAATTTATTTCTGCAGATGAAATAAAATACAGATTTTAATTATTTTTGTATAAACCATCAATTTCTCTCAAACTCCTTAATGCCTCTCCTTCCCTGCTATTTGCCAAGTCATAATGATGTAAATGTGTCTCCTTCAAGGATATCCCATGATATCTCACTTGTATTCAGAAGGTACTGACGTTAGGAGAGTTCCACTGAGAAGAAAGAGGAATCTGACACAGCTGTAGTTATTCATTAAGTTATTTAATACTTTGAATTTTCTGAATCTAACTGAAAGTCTCTTATAAGACATATGAGTGGCAATCTACAGATGACAACATTTGTACAAGGGTAAATCATTCTCATGTTGAATTTAATGAACATAGAAGTATTTTCTTTCTGTAATATACACATATATTTTTAAATATATATACTATTAAAGAAAAAATATGACTACAAATCTTTGAATTTTTCTTTATGAGAGTAATATATTTACATTTATAATTTATACTTATCAAATATTTATAATTTTTGTATTTTTATTTATAAAATAATATTTTTATATACTTGATTTTAGATTTTATATATTTATGTATTTATTTTATACTTGTAAAATAGTTAAAGAATATAAGAGTAATACCAAAAAGCTCCCACTTGTGTCATCTTCTACCTTGAAAACAGATAAACTCAAGATTTTCAAATCTTTGTCTAACATCACTTGCTCAGTCCTGAAAATTCACTGTTGCCCAACTATGGGTCTCATAGTAGAATCTGTATTCAAACTTAGTAAAGTGTAACTGACAGATATGCAAAGCTTTCTTTCCTTAATCCATCTTCAAATTTCCAGTTCTTATCTTTGCTGGCATCAAGAAATCTTGAGATCAAAAATATCGATGGCTGTAATCCCATAATTATATGGCTCTACTTCAGCTTCTTTCCATTATATTAGGTCCTAGTCTCTTATTACTACTGATGCCATCCAAATACATAAACATCAATAATCAACACATGGAAAAACATATGTGTAACAAGAAGTAAAAAAAAAAAAAAACCCTGCTTGCTTAGCAGAACACATCTATCCAGAAATAAGACTGAAATACAAATATTTTTGTAATATTATAACTAGAAAGAAATTCTCTAGATATCTTACAGAGTCATGTTTTAATTTTTAATTTTATTATTTTATGTATGTGGGCATTTTGTCTGCATGTATACCTGTGCATCACTTATGGTCTAGTGCCCACAGAAGCCAGAAGAAAGTCTCTAATCCCTCTGGAAATGGAGTTACAGATGGTTGTGAGCCACTCAGTGGGTGCTAGGAATTAAATCTGAGTCGCCTGAAAGAGCAGTCAGTGCTCCCCCAACATCCATTTTTAAAAGCAAATATATATAAAATTTGGGTGGCTATTTTTCTCTGTCTTCTCCAGTGAATATCTTGGTTATTAAATGCAAATTAAAAAGAAATTACTTTTTAAATCATTGTGTTATTTCCTGATGCCCTAAGTATAACAATTATATTTCATATTCCTTTTCCCAATTAAAATTCAAATGTTTATCCCCAATTACATTCTTTCTCTAATTTTCCTGCACTTTCTTTTTTCCATCTTTCTTGCTATTCATTGAATGCCTATGCACTGAAGCACAAAATTGTTAGCTTCATTTAAACTGTATGAAGAAATCTAGATGTTTTATTTATATGCAAATTTCATATTAAAGCAAGCCTGTCTCTTTGGAGAACTTAATAAACCATTTATTCTACTCAGCTAAGAAAAACAAACTGGAATCATCTGAAGCTATGCCTTTACTAGTCTGCTTACATAAGAAGATTGTCTCAGAG